CTGGTCATTTGTATTCTAAACTTTAATTTTCATCCCACTAAGTGTGACAATATTAATTTTTATATTCTATTCGGTTTCACTAATTCATCCACTAACTTTAACCTAAAAATTACGCATGTTCATCAATTTAATGTAAAATTAAGTTTTGCCCAAACTAATTTTGGCTTATAAATAAGTTCACTGAAGCTTACTAATTTTAACAACGAGCCCACGTTATTTTTTCTGAATGAGCTTGGATCCTTGTGGAATTGTTAATATAAAAAAATATATATTGGAGACTAGAAAATAAATTTGAGTTCTACGAATGGTTAAGTATATGCCACGCTTTAATAAATATCTTTTGGATCAACCTAAACATAACTTTAATTGATTAAGGCATAAAGTAGTCTTGAACTAAGAGGTTCAAACTTCAATTCTCACCTGACCCATTGTTGATTTACTATTAAGTGATTATAGTATTTTTAAGATAAATACTTTTATAAGTTTAAGTACTTTAACAAATTTTGACCATTTATCAACTTCGTCTGTTTCTTTTTTCAATAATTTTAAGACAATAGGTGTTTTATCCACTGTACTATACTATGTCGGATGATTTATCAACCTCATCGCTATTCTTGAAAATATCCATGGTAACTGAACACCCAAGGCCTGAGAGATGTCCTAGCCAGGCCCAATAAGTGAACAGCCCAGCCAAAAGGCCCAACCCAAAAGCTATACCATTCAAGGCACAACTAAGCTCATTCATAACCATAGGAAGTTTATTTTAAATAATTTACACAAAAATATTAAAAACAACTATTAAAATGCTTTTTTCTTTTTTTTTTTTTGCTTAATGAAGTTCGAGGACTAAGATAAAATTTAAACGCTACTTCATTCTTCTAAAATAATTTACCAATTTAAATAAATAAAAAATAAACATGAACATCCGATAATTGTCATTTACTCATCAAATCGAAGATTTGAACCACCATATTCTCAATTTGTTGTATTAAAAAGATTTAAATAAACAAATAAAGATAAATGTCGAATTACAAACAAAATCTATCTCTCAAACTTAATGTTGTGCCAAATAAGTCTTGAAGTTAAAAATTTACCTCTGTAAACTGAGTTTAGTTTCAATTTTATCCTTGTGATTCAAACAAACAACATACATGGTCATAATTGTTACCGTATTTAAATATATGACATATTATTCAATTTTGGTTAGGGTAAAAATGAACATGTCTAAATGCTACTTTGGTACATGTACTTCGATTTTGGTTCATTTTGGTTATTGTATTTTTAACTCTTGTATATTGACACATGTACTTTTAAAAGGTAACTTTCAAAGTTACGGTTTCTATTTGTAAAATTTTATACCCAGTGAAATTTTTTTCATATAAAAACCTTTTGCTACATTCTAAAATTTTAATGAGAGAATAGTCATTCTAAAATTGTAAACGAAATAAAAAAAAATTAAAAATTAAAATGGTGACCTCACCGAAAATGGATCAGCATTTGCTGGTCGCCCCCCTCGGGGGACATATGGAAACTAAATAATGCAAATATTAGCCCCTTTTGTCCTAAAAAAAAAATCAACTTTTTAAAATATAAGCAAATATTAATTTTGATCAGAAACGATAAAGAGAATAATCTTTTTAAGTTTGGGAGGTGTCTGATAGGGCGGCTAGTCTGGACCCTGGAGACGACAATGTCGCTGCACGGATTTCGATTTGTCGTTTCATTTCACGTGACCTTCAAAATTCACATTAATTATTTTTTGGAGCATCGTACAAATAGTAATAAACCCAACGAGGAAACTGCGAAGAAGTTTCAAACAAAAATGTACTTTCTAAAATTAGAATTATAATTTCGAACTTCTTTCTAATTTTCTGACCTTGTTCTCTTTTTCTTTTTAAGTAGTTTATTTACGGTTAAATTAACAAATGGAACTTGGACTAAATATATAATTTAGTTTATAATATTTGTATTATCTTTCCAATCTCATCAATAAACTTTTTGAAATTTCAATAAAAATTTATTGTGAAATAATGATGTGTGAATTTTAAAATAACTTTGAGGCTATCAACTAAGTATAATAACTTTTTTTTTGTTCAATAATATTAGTTTCAGAGACTTAATATTTGACATTTTGGTGGAATATATGTTTTAACAAATTAGTTTTGTTCATATTAACATTCTTTTTTAGTACAACATGTAGGGGTGGGGGATCGAACTCACAACCTCATGGTTGGAGGTATATGTCAATTACCACTGAGTTATTCTGGCTTTGACTTTATTCATATTAACATTGATCGAAAAGTCAAGTAGTCAAGTATGTTTTATTTTATGGGTGTGCTTTGTTCATAAATGGAACACATTAGATTTTTAGAATTCATTTAATAAAATGTTCATTTCATTTTTAGGTGCTAAAACTATTAATTTTTTTTTTGTGCTTTATTTATAGATTTCATATAAAATTCTTAATTTCATGTTGGGAGTAGATTAATTTTACCACTCATTTAAATATAAAATTCGTTTGGTCTCATCCATCTCTTCGTAAATGGTGTGAAACCCGTGATTAAATTATAGGAAGAGATTAAAAGTAAAGAATCACAAACAAGTTGAAATCATAAAAGTTCAAATTATTTTGGATAAATTTTGTTGGTTTCATATTCAATTTTCTAAAAGTTGGAACTACATATCAACTTTTAAATGCTTAATTAATGTTCTCAAAAAAAAAAAAAATCTTTTAAATGCTTAATTTTTATAAATCAATACATCAGTTTTTTTAACCATCAATAAGAGAATCTAATTTCCACCTTAGAATTAGAATGCTCAAAACTTCAGAGTGCAATCCAAATCCAAAATCACTTCCTCTCTTACCCTCACCAAGTCGAAACAAAACCATAAGCCAATAAACTTTTGCTCAAAAGGCCAAAACAAATCTTTGAGAATTTGTAAACACATAATTGAGCACCTTCTTATTCATGCCCTTCAAAAAGTCTAAAGATTGGGAATCCCACCATTACAACTCTCAAGAAATTCTCCCTCTTTTTATTTGGATTATTTATTCCTTTACCGATAATTATTCCACTTTGTACTAAAAAAAATCAAATTTATAATTTAAATAAAAATAAAAATATTTTATAATAGTAAAATATAATACTGTTTACTCTCTAATTTAAATGGTCTCTACTTCTATTATAACTAAACTCATTTGATGCCGTTGGTATTAGAAAACAATAAAATTAACTTTCCTTAAATCTCATTGGTTCACCAAAAGCACGTCTGGTAATGTATTTTGTTTCTATTTTTAATTTTTTAACTATCAAAACACATGAATAAAAATGTTATTTACATTATTTTATAATTTTTGCTTAATATCAAATAATAAATATAATATAAAATAACTTTCATATAAAACTTTACTTCTTTCAAGAAACAAACAAAAAGAACTACCAAAACGATTCTTTTTTTTTTTTTAAAGATAAACGATGAATGAAAAACAAAAACGTTACTTATTAATTTTTTTTATGGTAATAACTTAAGTAGAAGAATTCAAGTCTAAAATAGCACTCTAAATCAAAATCTTGGTGGAGTGTGTAAAATAGAAAAGACAAATTTCTGTAAACTATTTATTATAGTTTCTAAAACTAAAATTTATGTCACGTGGGCAATATATATAAAAAATTTTAATTAATAAAAATTATTAGTTTGAACCAGATTTTGCAGGCTGGCTCAATTATGAGAACGGAGCGCACAAATTTTTATTCCAAATTCAAAACTAAAACTACATCACAGATTCAAAACCATTTACCGTAATTAAAATCATACCAACCCCCAAAACACCACAGACGACATGTCGACACAACGCCAAAACAAACCTAATCAAATTACACCATATGAAACTCGGTGACACAACACCAAGCACAGTCCTACAATTTATTCAGAAAAAGAAATAGGAAAGGAAAAAAAGAAAAAGAGAAAAAAACCGACTCCCACTATCGGGATTGGCTGTGACTCACGAACACACCACCGCCCGGTAACCCAGAATAATTCCCCCCTACACCGACGACACACACCGGAGCACCACCTCTTCCTCCGCCACATCGGCC